ATGATTAGTAAGGCATTTAAGGAATAAATATGTAAGTGCTGGTGTTCTTCTAGAATAATAAAAAATATTTACACACTAATAGTCGGATAGTTTAGTATGAGTCATTGGGACTGTGTCTGAATATGGCAAAATGCAGTGTGATCTTTTCCATAATTAAATATCAGGAAAACCTGGACAAATTGCCCTATGTAAAATAGAAACAAAACAAAACAAAATAGGTAACCTTTCATTATTTCCTGTTATAAAAAAAATCTTCATCCGATACATTGTTTTTATCTCTATTGAATAAGATCCTGTCCACCCTACAGTCCCTTTGCACATCCCTGACAGAGCAAAGAGTCAGTAAAGCTGTCCTGTATGGGCATCTGAGGATTCCCTCTGTGTGAAGGAATCCATGGCTGGAGTAAAGCTATCTATGTACCCCTCTTAGACTGCTTGTGGAAGAGAGGTTTGGGGAGTGTATGGGGAATGGAAGGACATGGCTACAGCATGTCACACTTCTTAGGTTCTTGGCTAACATACCACTTCCTAAGTGGCCTTTATAAACTGCCATAAATTAAAGCAGCCCTGAGATTGCTTTAATTTGTGTTGGGAGCCAAACCAGCTACCAGTTGCTCTTGGGACTGGGGAGCTCAAAGGTGTCATTCAATCAATTTACCCCACCCCACAGGTCCTGTTCCAAGCACAACTCCTCCCTTTCTATATTTTAAGACCAGAAAGGACCATATGATCATTCATTCTGAACCCCTACATAATACAGGCCATACGATTTCACCATGTAATGCCTGCATCAAGCCCATATGTACTAGTTCAGCCAGAAGTTATCTTTTTAAAAGATATCCAATCTTTTCAAGTGACAGAGAATGCACCAAGTTTCTTGGTAAATTGTTCCAGTGCTTAAGTCCCCTAGCTGTTAAAAATTCTAGTCTAAATTTGTCTAGCTTCAACTTCTAGCCACTGGATTTTATATTGTCTTTGTCTGCCATAGTAAAGACCCCTCAGCTATCAGTAATCTTTCACCCTCCCCATCTGCCCCATGTAGGAACTTGTGGACCATGTTCAAGTCACCTTAATCTTCTTTGGATAAGCTAAATAGGCTGAGCTTCTTTAGTCTCTCACTGTAAGGCAGGTTTTCCAGACCTTAGATCATTCATACAGTTCTTTTCTGAAACTTGTCCAATTTGTCAACATGCTTTTTAAAGTGTGGACACTAGAACACCAGTAATGGTCTGATCAATGCCATATATAGGGTTTCACCATTTCCCTATGTCTCCTCAATATTCCCCTGTTTATATGCTGCATTACACTGGAATATCCTGGGTGTCCTGCATGACCCCAAGCTCCAAGTTCCTTTCAGAGTTACTGCTTTCAAAAATACACTCCCCAATCCTATAAGTGTGACCCACGTCCTTTGTTTTGAGATGTATGACCTTACATTTGGCTGCACTGAAATTCATGTTGTTCAAATGAGCCTATCCTGCCAAACAATTCAGATCACTCTGCAGAACTGACCTGACTTTATCAGAAGTTACCACGCAACCAATTTTTATAACCTCTGCACACATTACCAACAATTACTTCATATTTTCTTGCAGATCATTGATAAAGATATTGAACCAAGAACAGATCTGTGGGGATCCCACTGTGAGGGATCACAGGACTTGAAAGCAGGTGTATGGCTTCCCAGGCAATGCTCAGGCCATGACCATCACCCAATAGCTCATCTAAGTGACCAGGGAAAGGTCTAGCAAATGGTTAGCTTGCAGAGGGCCACTCACTCAAAGCTCCCAGTTGCAGGAAACATCCAGCTTCTCCCTCCCCCGTAATTGGCTGAGGAGTGCTATATAAACCAGGAAGTAACAACAGGTATTTGTCTGAGCACTAGAAGAATTCCAGGCTGGCTGTTACCATGGACCCTTCCTGCTTACCTGTCTCCTGCTCCTATCTCAGACTCCCATCTACTTCCAGTTCCAGACGTCTTGCCCTACTCCAGGTCCCTGCTTTTCTACCGTACCTCTGATGCTGTCTCTGGCTCTGGACCTTGGCCTGATACCTGACTCTGTCTGAAGCTCTGACCATCAGCTTGGTACCTGATGCTGTCTTTGATTTTGACCTTTGGCTCAGGCCACTAGGCCTGACTCCTGCTCTGACCAGTAGGCCTGACCGTCCATGCCCCAGTCATTGCAGCCATTAGAAACATCCACTGGATGATTTTTCCCCATTTACAATTATTGTTGAGAACTATCAGTTAGCCAGTTTTTAATCCATTTAATATGTGTTAACTGATTTTTATATAGTGCTATTTTTTAATCAGCATATCATGTGGTACTAAGTCAAATGCCTTACAGCAGTCTAAATCTTTGTGTCAATACAGTTACCGTGTCAAAATTGTAATCTCATCAAAAAACAACTTTGTTAACTAAAACCTATTTTCCATAATAACATGTTTATTAATTAGCAATAATTATTTGATTTTTTTTATTATTAATCATAAACCATATCAGCCTTTCCATGGTTTTGCCCAGGGTCAATGGTCAAGGTAACCGGCCTGTCCTGGGCTATCCTGCTAACCCTTTTTAAATATTGGTAAATATTAGCTTTTTTCATATTCTCTAGAATTTCCCAACCATGCTAAGGTTTGTTAAATATCAACATCTTACTATTCAGAAAGCTCCTTGGCCAATTGTTTTAAAACTCTTGGGTGCAAGTTATCAGGTCCTGATGATGGTCTTGATTTCTGCATCAGGATACTGTTGCAGATCCCGGCACCTATAATAGAGATAGACACTTTTTTATAAGACAAAAGAAGTTAAATAAAGTCAACATTTTATCAACCTTCTTTACATATAAGACACTTTGAGAAAATGGGCAGCCAACAACCTGAGATATTCCTCCGGTAACTCTACCCAGAAGAAAGCTGATCAACAGCTTCCATAGAAATCAGTTATCAGTAAAGAACTCTTCAAAATCAACTGGTCTCCTGGAGCTGCATTTGGTCCAAGACATAAATATGCACTGCTTTTTTCTAAGCATTTACTGCAACAATTGCAGGGAGCAAGTCTTTACTGTGCTGAAAATGACACGTATCTAATCTATCAGTTTGTCAGTGGCTTCTAGCAGAGAATGTTGTCTCTTTTTTTATCGCCGTTGCAAAGGAAACCATGGAAATATGTACTAATTGTACTAGCATTTCAATTGTAATGTGTGAAATATAAGGACTCCCTGTCACACTGAAATCAGGTAAGGTCAGGGATAAAGGTATGAAAGCCTTCAATACCATTGGTGAAGTCCTGGCCTCCATGATGTCGATGGAAAAATTCCCCATCAACTTTAATGGGGCCAGAATTTCATCCCAGATTTCAGAATATTGAATACATATTGTTCCATTCAGATGCACTGAACCTTTATTCACCTACGATATTGTAGCAAGCATTGTAAAATGTGAACTTCAATCAACAGCTTTAAAACATGAGGAAACTGAACACGAAATAACAACAAATGTTAAGTCAGAGTGTGATTTCAAATTGGAAGTTAATGACAATGACTGTAATCCAATATAAAAAAAACTACAATTGCGGTTTGAATTCACCCATTTGGGGGCAGTATGCAGTACATGAACAGTTTAATGACAGGGTGAGTTCACATATAAGTTCCTTGGAGACAGAATTAACAGTCTATTTGTTTTTTTTTCTGGGCCTCTGCTACCAAGAGAGCAAAGTTCACAAACCCAGTGGCAAATGAATGTCAATTTTTCCTACTTGGTTAACCTTGCATCCACTGATGTGGATTAGCTAGGCTAACTACAGCTAAAGATGTTTTTCATCCTGAGCTAATATAATACCAATTTTGAAAAAAGTCTCTAGAGGAGATCCTGGCAATTACAGGCCACTAAGCCTAACTTCAGTACCAGGTAAATTGATTGAAACTATACAAAAGAACAGAATTATCAAACATATAGATGAAAACTATATGTTAGTGAAGAGTCAATGTAGCTTTTGTAAAGGGAAACCATGCCCACCAGGGTGATCCAGTTGTTAGAGTGTACTTGGACTTTCAGAAAGCCATTAACAAGGTCTCACATCACAGGCTCTTAAGCAAAGTAGTCATGGGATAAGGGGGAAGGTCCTCTCATGGATAAATAACTGGTTAAAAGATAGGAAATAAGGGATAGGGATAAATGGTGAGTTTTCACAAGGGAGAGAGGTAAATAGCAGGTGCCCCAAGGATCTGTACTGGGATCAGAGCGGTTGAACATATTCATAAATGATCTGGAAAAGGGGGTAAACAGTGATGTGGCAAAGTTTGCAGATGATACAAAATTGCTCAGGATAGTTAAATCCAAAGCTGACTGTGAATAGTTACAAAGGGATCCCCCCAAACTGGGTGACTGGGTAACAGAATGGTAGATGAAATTCAGTGTTGATAAATGCAAAGTTATGCACATTGGCAAACATAATCCCAACTATGCTTACAAAACGGTGGGGTCTAAATTAGCTGTTACCACTCAAGAAAGAGATTGTGTGGTCATTGTTGATAGTGCTCTGAAAACATCTGCACAATGTGCAGCAGCAGTCAAAAAAGCTAACAATGTTAGGAACCATTAGGAAAGGGGTAGATAATAAGATAGAAAATATCATAGTGCCACTATATAAATCCATGGAATGTCCACACATTGCGTACCGCATACAGTCCTGGTCACCCCATCTAAAAATATACATATTAGAATTCAAAAAAGTACAGAGAAGGGCAACAAAAATTATTAGGAGGTTTAGATTAGGATGCAGAGGGGTTAAAAAGACTGAGAGGATTCAGCTTAGAAAAGAGACAACAAAGGGAGGATATAATAGAGGTCTATAAAGTCATGAATGGTTTAGAGAAACTGAATTATGAAGTGTTATTTACACCTTCGTATAACACAAGAATTTTGAGTCACTCAATGAAATTAACAGGCAGCAGGTTTAAAACTTCACACAATGCACAATCAACCTGTGGAACTTGTTGCCAGAAGATGTTGTGAAGGCCAAAAGTAAAACTGAGCTAAAAAAAGAATTAGATACATTTATGGAGGTTAAGACCAACAATGGCTATTAGCTAAGATGGTCAGGAATGCACCCCATTTTTGGATGTCCCTAAACCTCTAACTGCCAGAAGATGGAACAGAACAATAGGGGATAGATCATTTGACAATTGTTCTTTTCTGTGCATTCTCTCTGAGGCATCTAGGCAGTGACCACTGTTGAAAGACAGGATAGTGGGCTTGATGGACCATTAGTCTGACCTAGCATGGCCATTCTTATGGTCTTATGAGCATTACAGCAGCCTTTTGCCTTAGAATGTAAACTATCTTGTTTTCCTTCAAAATTAAATTCCCTAAATTCAACCTGCCACTCATTGAATTAATGTATTAATTTAAACTTAAAAGTAGATTTTCTAGTGTTGTATAAATGTATTGTTGGTAGCAAATACAATAACATATTAAATATAATGCATATGACTGTGTATTTATTGATCTGTCTGCTATTCAGCTTCCAAACAAAATTAGGCCAAAGGACATTTTTATGTATTAAGTAAACTATTAAATTTAGTCTTTCAAAACATCCTTGAAATACTGTAATATATCAACCCACTCAAAAATCCCAAATCTTCAGATAAAGCCATATCAACATAATAACAAAACTCTGAAGAACACAGGAGGAACAAATTGTTCAGGGTAATAAAATATGAAAAGGAAATAAAATATAAGCATTTCTAGGTCAAAGCGGTGCCTTGCAAAATTAGCACTGAAAACAAAATAACCTATGATGTTGCATTGTTCAAATTTTATGGCATTGTATGTTCATAATATATCAACCCACTCAAAAATCCCAAATCTTCAGATAAAGCCATATCAACATAATAACAAAACTCTGAAGAACACAGGAGGAACAAATTGTTCAGGGTAATAAAATATGAAAAGGAAATAAAATATAAGCATTTCTAGGTCAAAGCGGTGCCTTGCAAAATTAGCACTGAAAACAAAATAACCTATGATGTTGCATTGTTCAAATTTTATGGCATTGTATGTTCATACCAAAAAAGTGGTATTTATAGCTTAATAAAAACAGACTGCCATTGTTAAATATAATGGTATGCTTTTATAATAGCATTATCACCTGATAACCTGGCATTGTTAATCTATCTTTACACTTGTTACTTTTGCCTCAAATAATTACTTGTTTTTACTAAACAAAGACTTAATGGCGCCTCACATGGAGTTCCCAGTAAAAACATCCAAGACCACCCAAAAAAAAGGATTGATCCAAAGCCATTGAAGTCAAAGACTTCCATTGACTTCTGTGATTTTTGGATCAGGCCCTCAAAGCTTAATACTGTGCACACATACCACTCTTTGGGCAGGTCTACACTACCCGCCTGAATTGGTGGGTAGAAATCGATCTCTCAGGGATCGAATTATCGCGTCTCATCGGGACGCAACAATCGATCCCCGAATTGACGCTTCTACTCCACCAGCGGAGGTAGGAGTAAGCACCGTCGATGGGGGAGCTGCGGAGGTCAATTTGCCGCCGTCCTCACAGCAGGGTAAGTCGGCTCCGATACATCGAATTCAGCTACGCTATTTGCGTAGCTGAATTTGCGTATCTTAAATCGACACTCCTCCCCCCCTCCTCCGTAGTGAGGACGTAGCCTTTGTTAGGGTTTGCAGAGAAAATGTTCTTGAGATAAAACTCAGAGAGATGCATCCAGCCTAAAAAGCCAAGCTAGGCTAGAAGGATAAGTCTAAATTGATAGGTCTAAACATCGTGAGAAATACATTCAGTTTGGTAAGGAAAGTAATCAAAAGGGCTCAGTACTGCAGTGCTGTCATCTTTTATCTTAATAAGTCCTTAAAAAGAGTAAATAAAAGGAGAAGGATGAAAGTAATTGTTGGCTCTGTGTTGAGTAAGTAGCGAGTAATCAGTGGCTTTTCATTTTGTGTAATCCCTCCGTCTCCAGCTGGCTTCAATTACTGGACATGGAATCTCTGAGGGTCCACAATAAACATAATAAATAATAGTATTTCTGAGTTTTCACACAGGAAGGGGAAAAAAGCACAAACTCGTTGTATGTGTGGGTAAAAATGTGTGGGCAGGCATACGAGGTCTGAGGTGGCATCGAATCATGCCTTTGAGTGTGGATTGAAAGCGAGCCTCTGTGAACTTTTTCCTCTAAGTGGCAGTGCTTTAGTACATTTGTTGGGTTTAGTGCTATTTGTTAGAGTAAAGAGAGATTATCAGGACCTGCAAATCAATGCCTTCTGGCCATGCTGACTTGGTCTGATGTGCTCCTGCCCTGGTAGGGCAGGCAGTCTCCTTGGCAGTGGAAATAAAATGAGCCAGGAAAACCATGAGATGCTTTAGTTTACCTAGAAGTATGGAAGGGAGGCCCTTAGGTGTATGGGAATTTCTTGTTCCTCTTTTGGAAGATACTCAACAAATACAGAGTCTTCAGTCTGATTATTTAAATCTGTTTAGACTGAGGGATGGCTGTTAGTGACTTGTTTGACAGGATGGCAGCCAAGGCATCTAGTAGCATAACTAGGGCCAGATCTTCAGCTGGTCTATGTTGGTGTAGCTCTAAGGAAGTAAATAGAGCTAGGCCATTTTTTGCCAGCTGAGGACTTAGCCCTAGTTCTTAAAGGTGGCAAGTTTGCTGAATCATCTGGCTGCTTTCCTTCATGGAGGTGCATGGGGTGGGGGTTAATGTTTTCACAGGACTGTAAACTCACAATC